GGGGGCGGTGTGTTGACACACCTACGACATACGGCTCTGGCCCCGCCCCTGGGGGTGCGGTGTGTGTTGACCCTGCTGCAAGTTCCAAGCCGTCCTTGTACAAGCGTGCATGATTATTTCTGACCATCAGGACTCCCTAGTCGAGATGATTTTTGCAAAAAAATAATAAAAACTCACCAACAACAAACACAAGCCTTTTGCAAAACAAAAAACAAAAAACAAAAAACACCAACAAAAACAAGATTTTTGCACAAAAAACCAACAAAAACAAGATTTGCAAAAAAAAAAACCCCAAAAAATTGTTAAGGGCAAGCTTTTGGACACAAACACCCTTCATCACCGGAGAAAAGATTGCAAGAGTTCTGGGTAGAAATGAAAGTTCATAATTATTATTTTTTCAAAAATAAATAATAAAGCTCAATCATTTTGGAGGCGGCTCCTCCTTGCTAAAAAGCCCACAACTCTCAGAGTCCGAACCAACTTTTGGGTTTGCTGGCAGCGCTTTCCAGTGACTCCTTGCCTCCAAAGGAAGAAAAGTTTCCACTTGGCTGGCAGGGCTTTCACTCGCTCGCTCACTGGCCGCTTGTCATGAGCAATATCGAGGAAATAAAAAGTAAATATAAAGTAAACAAGACGATGGCATCTGTGCGTGCTTATCTGCATGCTGATTTCCCTCGTTTCCCAGCGAACAATAGATTGTTTTCCAGCCAATACAAGAATTTTGAGCTTCCAATACAACGATTTCACCTTGAAGACCATCATTTCAGATGTAAGACCTGGCCACGCTGCTCACAGCCCCGTGTCCTCAGCGCAGCGCGTGGGCAGCCAGACCTCGCTGCTTCAGGGCTCGCGGGGCAGCGTCTCGGGGGGTCTGGCGTGCGGTGGCAGCGCTTGGCAGGGGCCTGGGGATGTCATGGGCACCTTGGGGCTGGGCTTTACCAGGTGTGGACTGTGCCTTGCCCAGAGACGCGTGTTTCTCTGAGTAGCTGGTGGCCCCGCCAGGGGCTGCTGCTGCTCACTTCTGGGCACTGCACCGCTTTCCTCCTCACCCCCAGGCCCTCTGCAGTCTGGAGCCATCAGTTATCGATGTTACTCCCTAGCCGCTTACCTGCACATCTGGCTGCTGCACCCCCTAGGTCCATACACGGCCGCTCCTTCCCCTCGGATTCCCCGTCCTTCAGCCTCCGACCCTCCACGGCAGTGGTTCCCAATCTGCGGCACGTGTACCGCCAGTGGTACGCACACAACCGGTCAGTGGTATGCATGAACAAATGTATTATAATTTATACAACAAAAAATTGCTGGTGGTACTTAAGTTTGAACCGAAACATTTGCTGCTGGTACGGAAGGTTGTATCCTCCTAAATCGGTGGTGCGCAATCTGCCAGAGTTTGGGAACCGCTGCTCTCAGCTAAGCCACCTCTACACCCCCAAGGCTGCCCATTGCTCTTCCTTTCCAAGAGATCGCTCCTCAGTGAAGGGTCAAGTCCAGGGTTTGATATATGGGGGGGATGAGCCCCCCCATAAGAGACACCCCTCCCCATAAGAGACGAGAGCCCCGAGCCGTTCTAAACAGCTCGGGTGGCGGCAGCGGTGGCAGCTCCTTTGACTGCCACCACTGCAGACCCCCCCAAGAGTCGAAGTGTAATTTGTCAGGTCACACAACAGGTGTCCTTTGCCATCAGGCCTGCTCCACCAAGGATGTTTTTCAGAGGAATGGGTAGGCGTCTTGTAGCCCAGCATGCACTTCCTTGCCACCCAGATTGCAGATTTTGACATGTAGATACCACTGACAACAGAAACTCTATTCGGAATGAATTGGGAAAGTGACTTGAAAGACGGGTGCTGCAAGTCGCATGTTTGTCAGGCGGGCGCATCTGGAAGGTGCGTGGTAATGATGATGAGGCCGGTGCTGCAGGGCTTCCCAGGCAGGCCGCTCCAGGCCCTTGCCAAGTAGAACAAAGTGTCCCTCCCTGGGGAAGCTGCAGCAGCCCAGCTCCTGGTCTGTCTGCCTCTCTTCAAGACAGCTACAGACACTGTAAACACGCTGCTCACTACTTGCTACACAAAATAAGTGCTTTCTGGATTTTTATCTTTCTCGCACTTACTGACCCCTCTTGATTCCCTGGGTACCCTCCTCCCTTCCTTGGTACCAACATCAAGATGCTCCTTGTTGAACCTCCATCCAGAGCCAGTTAATGGTTATAGCCAACAGGGCCTGTGGAATCCAGGACGGGACGGTGACAGAGACCCTAGTGCACCTCAGAGCTAAAAAAGCCAGAAGGACTAAAGTTTTGTCTGCGGCCAGCAATCTTAGTTAAGAATTGTATTTATTACAACCAAGTCCTGTCTCCTGCACTGTAAGGAGCGGGCAAGCTCAAACTGTAACTCAGCCAGAAGGGTGGGGAATTTTTGTTTTGGCTTTCTGTGACGTTAATCCCTGAAACCACCCAAGGAGTTGTGCACAATAACACCAGACCACGTGCAGCTAAGAGCTTAGTGTGCCCAGCTGGTCAAGACTCGAGCTTCACCTACAAGTGTATCTTCTGTTACAGCTCTGTTTTCTTCAGACTTTCCTTTTGCTCTCCTCAGTTAGCGCAGGCCTCCTTTATCCTTAAACACCAGTATGAAATCTCTGGTGAGATTTCCCACGCAGATTTTCTCCTTCCACCTCACTGAGTCACCATCTTATTTCAAATCTCATCTATTTTTTCTCTTTTTCATATTTATTTCTCTCTTCGTCTGCTACTATTAATCTCTCTGATTGTATTACTGAACTGTCTGGCATACAAGCTATAGGGACTGATTCTGCATTCTTGGCTTACCTAAAATCCCCATTGAAGTCAGAAGGTATTTGGAGCATGCAAGGAATATAAGATTGGGCCTTAAAATTATACTGTACATTCTGTACTTCTAAAAATGTCCATGAATGGCATTCTCCTCATTCAAATTTCAAAGCAGACAAATCGCAAATATAGCTCAAATAATTACAGGTTCTCTCTATCAGATACCAACACTAAATGTTTCTCTACATGAAAATCTGGTAAATAGTTAAACAATTGGATATTTATGCTGTGCTGTTTTTCTCCAAATAGATAGCTAGATCAAATGACATTATAACTAGTCATTTACACAGTGGCTGTTCTTGAATTTTAATGAATGTGAATGCACAATACCTTTTATCTGAAGACATCAAAGAGCTTCAGAAAGTTGGGCAAGTTATAGTTTCCATCTTTCTGATAGGGAGATTGATGTTAATGTGTGAATCATGGCCTCAGCACTGCAAGTACAATTCCTCTCTGAACAAGGCCAGCACAAAATACACATCCCTTACATCCCTCTTCATTCTAATTTCGGGTTCATAAATGAGGCTAACATTTCTGTTGATCTTCATCACTGCAATGAATTTCATCTCGTCTGACCAGCTGAGCTGTATGGAGAGTCCCACGCATCCCACAGAGCCCCTTCACATCTACCATTTCTTGCAGAGGGATGAAATAGATTCTGAAGTATGTCTGAATCTTGAATGGCCTCTAGAACCCCTTACTTATCTCCAAATTATTGCTTCAGGTTGTTGTAGAAGGAGTCCCTTTGGAGCAGGGCTTTATGACCTATATGCTTCCTCTACTACTCTTCCAAATCCACCTATTATTCAGTGGAATCACAGAATCACATCCAGACAGAGCAGGGCAGTGAATAGTTCATAGCAGTTCACTCGTAAACTGTGGAAGTTGTGACTACCACTGCTCATTCCTAGTCATCAGCTTAAAATACTAGAAGACCTGGAACCCTCATGTCATTTATGGTCTACACACAAAGGAGCCTCACATCTTTAATAGGTAGACAGAGGAAAACACTTTCATTCACAAAATCTCCTTTGTGCAAATATGAGTGATTCCTACTTTGACACTTAATGGACAAGCCTTTTTGTACTGGGTCTTATTGGCACTGACAAACATAATCCTGGGACCGATATCTGCAAGCACCGAGGGTTTTCTGCACAGGAAAGTTACACCAGTTAACATAAGGTCTGAAGTTAAACCAGTATAGTAATACCAGTACAAACTTGCCCTATGGACACACCTGTCCTGTAATGAGTGCCTCTTTCTGTTGAACTAGCTTTCATCACTTTGGAAGAAGCTGATTATACTGGTTCCACTGGTAACATTTTCCTGCCCAGACAAGCTTTTTGACATGAGTAATTCTGTACATGCAATTAGCTCCACTGAATTCATTGGTTACTCATGCTCAAATATTTGTAAGATATGTTTGATACATTAAGCCTTTTTTTGTGTTACCGTTTTTGAGTGGAAGGAAGATTTGGTGTAGGAAAGAAGAAAGAGCAGCAACTGTTTATTTTTCTTACAGTTTCTTATTATTTTTCTTCAAAGCCCTTTATTGTACAATTTATTTTCTTTTCAATCCCACCTGCAAAATAGCAAATCCAAGAAAAATAATCAGAATCCACCAAACATGCAAACATACTTTAAAAATAATATTTTGCATTTCTAGGGGAGTGTCAATGTGTGCGTCAAAA